TGGTTAAAAACAAAAACGTCTGACCAGCAGCTAGGCTGTGCTGTTGACAGGGTTTCTCCTGCCAATCCTGTGGCCACAAGGGCCTTCAGAGCAGACTGCTACCAGACCTTGCTAATGGCCTTTGGTCCACTATGCATTGCTTGGTACTGATGAACTGGACTTAGATGTAAACTGCTTAGGCTTTTCACATGCCTTTTTTAAACAGGCCTTATGATCGTAGAAATGTGTTTTCCACATATTTTGCTTCCATATGTTCCAGCTTTTATAACTGGAGCATTTCGTTCTGTAATCTCTACAAACCTTCCTGGTATGTGGTTTTTATTTCCTGTGTGGAGCCAGTTATTTTTTTCTTGCACTTTGAATAAAGACCGTACATCCGTATCGGAGGTTCGGAATGCTTTGCATATTCAGCTGTGTAACAAATCTCACCGCTCAGAAGTTTGAAAAGGTTACAGTAACCTTTCTGTGATGCTTTGCCGAAAAATAAAATATACAAACTTATACTACCTTCCTTCGTGAACTGAATGTGAAAGGTTTCTTCATCATCCTTTAGTGGAGTGACACTGAAAATGAACTTTGAAGGTTAAGGTGGTGACCTGTGAGCAAAGAGGACTTTTGGAGCCGAAGAGGTCAAATACGTTTTTGGAAAAGTACAGTAACAGCTGTTTTCTCGACCCTCACGAAAGAGAAATGTTGCGATTTCTCAGGATATTTGCTCAGATGAGCAGAATATACTTTGACAGCAATTTCTTGTGATTAAACGCAAGAAAGTTGCTTGCGAACAAAGGTGCTGCCGCCGCATGCCATGAATGAAACGCCTGGTGTTTACTTTCAGTTCGGTGTAAGCAAATCAGCCGTCTTGCCTGAAGGTACCAAGGAGTTTACAGAGGCCCTCTCGGACTTCACAATTTTCAGAGTGTGTGGTGTAGAGATGGTAGATGGACTGCTACAGAATGTTAGTACTTAAAGATGATATATTAGATAGTTAATAGAGAGCACGTGCCGAGATGCTGTATATTTCTGTTAAAGATGACGACTGGTGTATATGTGAGTAGCACGGTATAGAGTTTTATTTCCTCCGCTGGGGCAAGAAATGTGATCCGGTCTTAAAAAGGGAATTTAAAACTTGGAAAGCAGCAGTCATTTGCAGATCGTTATGATGCCTTTTAGGCTAATTAATGGCTGTTTACAGGACAAATTTCCGTAAATGGCTTGGTAAAAACCGGTCTTGGGTATCCACCAGTTAACATTGAAAGTCAGGCCCCGTGACTTCACTTGTTTGTTTTGGCTCAAGTGGTGTTAAGTAAGAAGCCGAACAAAAATAAACAAATCTCCTCATTTCTCAGTGGCAAGCATACAGATGAGACGAGTCCAAGATTTTCATGTACACAACACGTTTTAGGTTTACTATAGAGCATTGTGCATTGCACACACCGGGCAAGAGCCCTTGGAGCATGCTTGCCGCCCTTACTGGAAACGCACTGGCCTGTGACGGGGCGGCTGGTGAGCCTTGAGCTCGGGGTCACTTAGTCAACTGCGTTCAGAGCTCCTGCCATCAGTCCGCTGATGGGATTCGCTCCCTCACCTCTCGGAGCGAAGAGGGCTGTTGGTGCGGTCTGGTTTAATCTGTCACTCTCCACCTTTTTAATCAGGCAGTATGAAAGCTCAGGGCATAAAGGGAAAAGGTTGCATGTGCACAAGCCAGCCTAACCATATAGACTGGGGAGAGACGTTCAGCACTCTGAATTGAGTGGGGAGAAAATAACGAGGCACAGAGGTGTCTGCTGTTGGGTTCTAGTGCGCAGTACGTCTAATACTGACGTTGGGAGAATTAAGTACTGTATTGCTGTGGCATTGTATACTACTGGGCCCTTCAAAATAGAGTATTGGTTGGTCAATGAATGTTTGGGAACTGTCTTCTGCCTCACAGGTATTGTTAATTCTTAAAAGAAGGGTAGTCTGTAATTTTAATTACCAATGCAGTTCTATTTTTTTTATTATAGAAGAATTTCTTTATTGGGTGCATTTCAGATTTGCTGCTTGTACAATAGTCATTAACAGGAATTTCCAGGGCGATGACATTTTTCAGATGTTATGAATATTCAGCGTGGATGTAATCCCAGAAGGCTTCATACATGAAGAGCGGAAGAGCTAAAGGCGCAGATGTTTGTAAAATGATCCTCGTGTGTGCGGGCCGGGTGGTAGCCTGCAGACAGGAGCCCCGTCAGCCCTGCCATCTCCCCATCTGCTCCCTGGGGCTCACTTTCCACAGCCCCGTCTGCTGCGGCCTCCTTTGTTTAAAATAAGAAATACATTGAAACACGCTGGCACTTCATTTGCTGTTTTTTTTTTGGGGGGGGGGGAGGATTCCCTGAATTCATTTTGACGACGTGACTCGTGCAGCACCTCAGCAGGTCTCTCGGGGGGAGGGGTGGGGGCTTCTGCAAGGGGGGCTGGAGTGAAGCATGGCAACTGCAGCCCTAATGCAGGGCGTTACTCAGTGTCCGTGGCCTGTAAGGAGTGTACGGCGATGTCGGTTAGTTGTCAGATACTTAGGGCCGTGGTTCTTATCCTGGGGTGCACACCCCCTGGGGGTGTAAGAAGCCCTTTCTGGGGGTGCGAATCAGGCCAGATTTTGTTTTTGGGTCAAGTAAATTAGACACAGGTTAAGCGCAGGCGTTTATGTGCAACTGCTTTGTTTCAGCAAACCTCTGTATTTTGTGGTCAACGTAAAAGTGAAGATTTTGTGCGTTCTTAATTTTCTTAATTCTTAATAATAAAGAGCTGATAAGTGGCGCGAGAGCATGTTTTTGACAACCAAAGCGGTGCAGGCAGCAGTGGAGGTTGAGAGCTACATTAGGGTTTTCAAATACACCTCGGCTTTATCATAATTGTGCAATGGTGCTGAACCTGAACCTGGTCAGATTTGATGTCTTATTCTCTTCGTCTTGCATGCGTGCGTGCTGCGGTACATTTATATGCTTGAACGGTTCATTGCATATTGGAGTGTCACAGTGACTCGGTTACATGGACAGTGTGACAAACCGGACCACTTCAGTGTTGTGTAGAGGGAGTGAGCTTGTTCCAGAATGACTGACATTGTCCTTAAAAAAAAACAAAACATACACTGAACAAAAGATCTTCTGCTGGATTCAGACCATTCACAACCCGGTCACTCCTGTTCAGATGTCAGTAGATAATGCTCACTATTTAAAGTTAACTGCACCAATATTTTTATATTTCAGGGTCATAAAGAATTCAGAGTTGAGTACATTTCCAACCACTATGAAAGTAAAATATACACAGGAATGTGTAAAATCTCCAATTTGCATGACAAAACTGACAGAATTTCCAGGGATGCACAACGCCATGTTCTGCGATTCAGAACAAATCGCAAAAACGTCGGTTGAGGTGAAGCGGCCCTATGGCATTGTAAACAAGCAGGCTCGTGAACACATCTCTTTTAATCCAGTTTCAACATCTCTTTTAAGCCAGTTTTGCGTTTGACTTGGAGACGGTTTTGGAGACAAATACTACTAACTCTGCGTGTAGATCACGTTGGAACATTTCTGCAGTGAAATGTCTGCTGCACAACCTGTACTTATTCACTCGTACATCTCAGTACATTAGTCATTGCAGTGACTAGCGAGCAGGAAGGGCTGCCTCACATCGCAGTTCACTCTTGCCCGTGAAGACACCATACAGTACAGGCGGCGATTCAGTGCTTTCACGGAGTTCATGATTTTGTGCTTAATTTGGAGTTTGTTAAATTCCGTTATTATTTTACTGAGATTTAAGAAACGGCCTGAGAAATTGGGACTGTAGTTCCCCCTTTAACCTTTTGTAGCAATAGTATAGTTTTATCAAGCAACCAAAATGTGTGTATGAGCCTCAACTTGTGATACCCTTAATGTTTGGTTTGGCTGCCCTTGAAGATATCCCAGAGATGATGGAATAGTTCACAGAATTACCCTACAGTAGGGGATTTAGAACTTGATTCCTGGAGGCCTAAATATTATGGTTTTTGATCCATCCAAGGTCTCTAACACAATTGATCTAATTACTTGATTAGCTGTATAAATATAATACAGTAACATAGACTTAAGGTACTTTTTATTGGTAACCATATCTTTTAAATATTCTTATCAACTTTAAAACTTTCTCCATTATATTTGTATCATTAGTATATAATTTAAGAAAACAAGTTCAAATAATTTTCAACTCAAATCTAATTCTCAAGGAGATTAATCTGAAAATAACCTTCTGCAATTTCGTTTTTTGTGTTTCGTGTTTCTTGATCTGCAAAATTTAGGCCTGAAATGTTTTAGCTAAATTTAAAAAGGTGGGCAAAGTTATTTCCACTAAAGCTGTCCTGTGACTTTCAAGATTAAAGTATTTTGATACTGTGAACAGTGCTTAATGTTGAGGTGCATACCCTCAGTCAAGAACATTTAAAAATCCAGTATTTGACATCCCTACAGAAGTAGCTCAGTTGATGTACTGGTCTTGGTTGACTGTTCAGCAACAGGACTGAAACACTTAGACTAAGGTACCTGGGGGTTTGTTTGCTGCAGTCCGCTGAAGAGAAGGAAGCACATTGTATCAAACTTTCATCTTGTCCAATACTGAGAGAGAAGGGAGGAAAGACACCTCCATACCCTCTTATCAAGTAGTGGTCCTTTTTGCGGAGTCAGATCATACAGGATCCCTCTCGTTCTCTGGTCTGCTTTACCAAAGCAGCAAAACAATCCGAAGTATTTCTCCCTCTGTCCCGGGTAGCACAGCCCTGCTGCCTTTGTCCCGGCGGTGCTAGAATGTGTGGCCTGTGGAATTTCTCGTGCATCCAACCTGTGTGCGTTAGAGATTGGGTGGGGTGCTCGGGGGCTGTAATGTGCAGGCTAGTGGCAGCTGCTTCTGTCTGAGAGGAGAGAGAGAGAGAGAGAGCAAGTGAGCAGGGAGCTGCCAAAGCTTACCCTTCCCCGTTCTTCAGCCGAGCCAGCAGGCTCGCGCACACTCCCGGACGTGTCTGGTGCGCTCGAGCACTGCGAGGAGGGTCAGTCCTGGGGAAGCACTGCCGGGCTGCAGCTCTGGCTCTGGACGCCCGCGGGCGAGAGGAGAGAGGTGGGGAGGCAGGCCTGCGCCGCTCCCTCTGCCCAGCCTGGTGTGTGTGGCCGCGGGAATGGGGCGTCGCTGGGGAGCCCCTCGGGAGTGAAGAGCCCGGGATGTGCGACCCCGATCCGGTGGAGCTGGGCTGCCAGTGGGCCCAGCTGGCCGGGTTAGACGGCCTCTGGTTCAAGCTCCTCGCTCGGGCGGGCTGCAGGGACGTGGAGCTGGGTCTCAAGTGCTGTGATGGGGTTTCCTGGGGAAGAATACTAGTGTCTTCTAAAAGGAACTGTGGCGATTACGGGGTAAGTGGTTTTTGGACGAGCTTCACTTCACAGTTCGCATCATCAGTCGTTTGTTACCCGTCCCTTTTTAAATGCTAGCTGCTATCTCATCTAGTATTATTTTCTTTATAGCTCGTTTTCTATTTAATGATATGCAGTGCTTTATTTTGCCAAAAGCAACTTGGGGAGGAAGTCCCTTAGTTTTCTGTTTAATAGGAGATTTAAATGCCATAAGTTTGTCTTGAGGTTAGTGCAGTTCTCATATCTGTGGGAAGCGGCAGGAAGAGGCTAGATTTAGAAGTGAATGTCCCAGGCAGGTTGGCTCAATTAACAGGTAAGCATTCTTACACAATGCTTCCTGGAGACAACCTCCGCACCTCGTGTCAGCCAATGTTATTTTCTGCTCGTTACATAAGAGCTGTAGTGCTCTAGAGAGACGTGGCGGGGATGTGTTGAAGTCCTCTTACAGACAGCAGTCCTGTCAGCAGCCTGGTGTGCTTTAGGTTTCATTCTCCAACATTCAGAATCAGTCCAACAAGAGTACCTGCTGTGCGTCGTTTAACATAAAAACACTTCAAATACAAAATAGCCTTGTGAAGTTTTTAACAGTAAAGAGAGGAGTGAAAGTCTTTTTATAAATATTTGACAAGAAATCCATTCTATTTAATGGCTTTTGCAATCGATTACTTTTCTTTGATAGTATTGATTTGGGTTATTGCGGAGTTTGAAAGGTACATGGACAACGAGTACACAGGTCTGAGATTGCACAGCTTCATCATGTTCAGTAAAACAGTAAAAGAGTATTTTGGACAATAAACCTAATTGTTCTACTGTTCTTACTGTATAGTCATTTCTTGTATTGTAGTTATTCTTAGCATTTTAAAACTTACTCCGGTTAGTATATATTTTTTTCAGACTAATGGAATGGAGTTACATAAATTCATAAATATTTTAAGGAGCAGGCAGCACCATAGTGCACTTCAGGTGCATCTGCTTGCATGTTTGTGCAGACGGCAAGGACACATCTTCATAGTTCTGTTTTTGGGGACATAATTTACAGTTTGTGTTGAAGATTTTCTGTATACATCTGTCTGTTAAGGTTCTGTTACTTATGCATAGATAAGTACGCAGTCTGTATCGCGGCACACCAGATATTCTTGGGATTTATCTTCCTTAAATACCTCTTCAGTAAATCCATCTGAAAATTCACGTTTCGGCCTCTGAATTTTTTAATCCTTATGCATTGTGGCGCTCCCACTGCTTTGACTAAAAGTTTCCCTGTTAAATAACAGTCCCTCTTTGGGCTGTTGCTGAACATTTCCATCCAGAATCCTGGGTCAAGATGATCTCATCAGCCCATGTTATGTAAGCCCAGCCCATCCTCTGGAGGGGCTGTACAGCTGGTAGGGGCCATGAGGAATAATGCTGTTTTCTGTAAAAATCTGTAGGTGTTTAAAGAAACCAAAAAATACATCTAAGAGGGAAATTTATAATTTTACAACCTGTTATTGTTTAGAAGTTCCGTTTCTTGGCAGGTATTTCACTGTTTATCAATATGACGCTGAGTAAAAGATATTTTGTATTCTTGTCATTCAGTGCTATTTGTTTTTATGCAGAAACAATTTATAGGCATCATTCTGAAATCATAGCCAATTTGTTTTAAGCTGACACTTCTTCCAGGCTGTGGTCTGTTTGTAGTACACAAAAATAGGTTTAAGTTTGTATGTGTAGAAAGGAGCAAATGTAAATGAAAAGGAGCACCTGATACTTGACTACTCTAACACTTAGCATTGCCTGCTTTTAGATAATATTTTTGAATGGATGTGGTCCAATTCTTGAAGATTATCAGTGTGATTTAAAGATTGATAAAATGACCAACTCTTTTCTCACCCATGTTACGCTTTATTAGTAAAGTTGTTGTAATTGAAAACACTAATGGAGGCTTTTATATTAGTGATGCTTATAGGCCTACAGATTAAAATCCTGATTGTGTAAAAGATCTTTAAAAATTTTGCATGTTAATGTAAATACACATTTGTTCAAAGAAATGCTTCTGAACCACTTAAAATGAAAATGTCATGTTTCTTATGTTTAAGGCCCAGACTGTCTAAACTTTAATGTGGTTTGGGGGAGACCGTGTCAGTACTGCCAAAAGCAAGTCCCCTTTTTGTGTTGTTTTTCATCACTGAGCTGGTCCCCGGGTTTGCAAGACAGACAGGTTAATATGCCTGAGCGAGTGTAGGTATTAAAGTCACTGTGGGGTGCAAAGCTACAGGAATCATGAGTGTTTGAAAGTCATTATTTTATTTTTAACCCTATGGCTCTCTTGTACAGTAAAAGGCGTTCCTACATCTGGAGCAGTATGAAACAGAGCAGAAAGAGCGGGTTGATGGTGGATCAGTTAAAATGGTTTAAAATCTAATTTTTAAGGATTTTAATATCCATTTTGAGGATATTGCCTGAGAATGAAATAACCTGCGTTCTTTCAGCGCCAGGAAGATCACAGGCAGGCGTGTGCAGATAGTCGAGGGTGCTCCAACACTTCAAACTTTAAAAAGTTCCATTATAATTTGAATGGTTATATATAACGCTTTCCTAGTGAGTAGAGAATGGAGGGTTATTTGCCGTAGCTGCAGCAGTGTTTTGTGGTACTGGTCAAGAAGTGGACAAGTCCTCCATTGATTAAAGTGGCAAGACGTTGGAGGCGAGGAGAGGAGCCTGCTGTGCGACTGAGCTGCGTGTTCTCGCTCTTGCAGGCCAAGCAGAAGGATGCGCAGGAGCAGAGCGCGCTGGCGTCGCCCGCGGAGGAGGAGCCCTTCTCCTGGCCAGGCCCGAAGACGCTGCGGCTCCGCCGGACCTCCCAGGGCTTCGGCTTCACGCTGCGCCACTTCATCGTCTACCCGCCCGAGTCCGCTGTCCACTCGTCCCTGAAGGCAAGCTGGGCCGAGTGAGCCGCCTCCTCCCCCTGCCCCGTGGCACAGAGCCGCAGGGACGTCCCGGGGGGGCCCTGTCGGTGTAGACCGCAGAGCCACGTGAGGGAGACTGAAGGGTTTCCCGAGGGGAGGAACACTCGAACCTCACCGCCTCCTCACCTGCTGGAGCTGGGCCCGTGTGGACCCCCCCCCAAAGAGCAAAGCTGGTTTTGTTCAAGGGATGGGGAAGTGAGATGAAGGACTGCCGGTCCTAGGGTTTGAAATGCCACGCCCCCGGAGTGTCACTTCGTTCAGTCCGCGGCAGGAGGGCGTTGTCTGGCGTGGGCCGGCGTTGCAGGCCGAGAAAATCGTGCTGTATCAACACCTTTTGAGCAAACCCCCCCCCACCCTACCCCCTCCGTTCCCTTCTGATTTTTGGGTTTCCTCCTGCTGCCCTTTGCCACTGCGTCTTTGCTATTGTATTTAAATGATTGATCGCTTTCAGGGTCTGAGAAGTGTTTAACGAGGGGAATTACGTGTCTGACTCAGCAGACCGCTCACAAAGAAATCCTTTGCACCCCTTCAGTTGTTTTGGAGCTGTTGTCAAGAGCAGGCCATGGATTTCGCTGGGTTTCCTTAATCACTTCCATATGCTTTTTATGGGCAGTGGCGGAGTCTCTGCTAAAATCAATAGGAATGTTGTTGGTAAAATAAATACTGTAACTAGGTGACTTCAGGAAGAGTGAAAACGCAAACCTGCCCATTCTCATGGAGAATTCATGAGGTCTTCCATTGCTGCACCAGCAAGGAAAACAAAAGGAAGAGAACAGTGAGCAGTTTAGAAGAAGTGCTGATCTGGTGTCAGAGCTACTGCACCAAGCGCTTCAGCGTTCAGAGATTAACAGAGAAATCTGTGACCACGCTAATTCAGCATTCATCTGTGCTTTATTCAGTACTGAGTTTGGAAAATGGTGAATACAACTGCTCTGTTACTGTAAGCTGGCTTGACAGTAAACCTATTATACGTTTTTTATTGCTTTCAGTTCATTTTTTAACATTTTATAGGGGCACATTCTGCAGTAAGCTAGAATGCGGTTCGTTATTGTCTGATAACGTGCAATCAGCTGATTCAAAATAAGTTGTACAGTCCCACAAGCAGACAAATATACTCCATAGCCTTATAGTTAACTCATTTAATACTACCTGATTACATTTGAAGGCTAAAAAGGAATATTTGCTTAATCACTCGGGATATTCATTTTTATTTTTTTTATTTTACAGGATGAAGAAAATGGCAACAGAGGTAAGATACTTGATTTTGTAGTAAATAAAGTTTACCAGCTCCAGCTGTAAATACCCTGGAATTGTATTAACGTAGCTTAATGAATGACTCTCATGCCATTTAGCTTGGATGGCTGGGCAGAACTGAAGTAGATAATTGCTGTTTAAGGCGTAGTTTGTTGCTGATTGCCTCTTCATTCGGAGGAAAGCTGCTGGGAGAGAAGCACATGTCAGAGCTGTCTGTACAGCAAGATGCTGCTAAAATCTACGAATGTTACACTCCCCCACACGCACCTTCGTTCATCTTGTTCAACAAATGAAGGACAGTTTACAAGAATGGAGGAATTTCTTTCTGGATTTTTGTGAGCAGGTCTTATTTGCAAGAGAACTTGGTGGGGAGGATGTTATGGTGTCATAGGCAAATTTAAAGAGCTCTGCAAAACTGCTAAACTTCCCTGTCATGTAGAATTGCTTGGGATGCTTGTGAAAACTTGTATCTTGTTGGCTTCAGGTTTGTAGTTAGCACTTGAATTTAAGCTGCATAGACTCTTGAATGTCTGCTTTTGATCTTTTACATCGTCTGAATGTCACACTTTGTGAAGTGTTTTTTTTTTTACTTTTGAAAAATTAGTTGCCATGACTTAATAAAATAACGAGGCTGGTCTAGTTTGTAGAAATAAATGTGGGGCTAGGGGCTGTGATTTAGTATTACAGTAATAAAATAAGTACTTCCATCTGAAGTGTCTTATTTGCCTCTGAAACATTAACCACTCCAAATTGATATTGTTGTCTCTTGCATGCTACACTACAGCAAATGATCGTAACGACTGGGAAACGGGTATTGACAGTGGTCACACAATCCACTTAGTGCCACTGCATGGAAATAATGAATCCCAGTTGTCTGTGCTTTGCATGCTACTGTGGCATTGTGTTGTCTGGAGACCAAAGAGACAGGCGACAGATGAACGTTTGTAGAAAGCTCAAATTCATTGTAAATGTGTAATTTTATTTCTATTAATTATCTAGCAAGAACTTTTTTGGGGCCGCTTTTGGTAGCGCATGAAGCGAGCATTCTGGGAGAATGGGCCTGGTGGGAGTGTGCAAGACTGGCTCTGGGTGTGTCCGGCCTTGCGCCTGTTGTGTGCCAGGATGGGCTCTGCCTCCTCCTGCGACCCTGTATCAGACAGGGCAGCTGGAGAATGAGTGGACCAAGCACGTAGTCAAAGACGAGATGAGGTCTTTCATCGTTTAATGTGATTTTTTTCTGAATTCGGTAGTCTTTCAAGCACGCGTTGTAGTGTTAAAGATGGTTCTGTGTTTTGAAAAGATGTGGGTTTTGACTTAAGACCACTTTATTTTCTGCTGCGCTGCAACTGCTTGCTTTTTAATTGTACCTCTTAAAGCAGCTGAAGATTGCTCCTGTGGTACTCAGTTGGTAGCCTAATCTTTCTAGGGCTGTTAGCTTTCAGCTCTTTGGTATGGTACTCTCTGCTTCCTATAACATAAATGTTGAGGTAACGGATGTCTTTGGCCTGCTCTCTCTAACCAGAAAGCAGACATGTTCCTGCATGGTTTTATTTATAGTGGCTTGGAATAGCAGTCACTGGACATTGTGGGCACTGTGAGGACGAACTCGAAACACACATTGAAGGTTTTAGTGTTGTGCTCTTCCTAAACAGCGTAGCAAAGTTGATTGCATTTAATGGTAACACTTTGCTGCTTTATACCTTGCCCTAGTGTATATACATGTATTCAAAGCTTCCCTGGTCCTTGGATATGTTGCACTCATGTCACCCTCTTTACAGGATACAACCGAATTTCTGCCATTTCGTTTTTCACCTGCATGCGTGACATTAGCAGCACATAGGAGAGCTCTGCTTCATGTTTACCATGTGCGAATCTGTGTCCATGTCAATCAGGTTTGGATCGCTCCTTTCCCTCCGTTTAGCCCCCTTTCTTGATTTGAAAACTGCCCTCTTGTCCTTTATAAATACCATACCACTGGTGTTCCTTCTGTTTTTCTTCCTTACATTTGACTGTTTCCCTGATGGAACTCCATTGCTATCCTGCTGCAAAACATCTGTGGTTCCTTCTTCATCCTGAGAATACTTGAAGGATAGATCGTGTTTGTTTGTTTGACTGGATGCCATATGTGAAGGAGCGTTTGGATTTTGGTAAGAATTTCACATGCTGATGTAAAGGGTGTTGCATCTGGATTTTTTCCAGTCTGAGCACAGCGTCCCTTTTAAATGGTGTATGTTCCCTTACAATTAATGGAAGCATAATCATTTTTGTCATCTCTAGGGAGAAAAAAAAATCTTTGTGATTCCGATTGCTCAAGACATTTCGTAAACTTCCCAAATTTATGTTCCAAGTATTTTGCTTCAGAAGTTTTTTGAACAAGCTTAATTTGGGGAACTTAGGCATTTAAAACAGCTGTTCAAATATTTGTTTTGTTTTTTGTTCTAAAGCAGAATTGCAAGTTAGAAGTCCTGAGATTGTTTTTGTTCCATGCAAACAGCAGAGTGAGTAATCGTGTGAACAACAGAAATTCCCCGATGGCTTATTGGTATAAGAACCAGCCCCACTCCTTAAGGAACTGCACTGTTTCTGAGATGTATCTGTTTGTCTCCCGACAGCGGTTTACTTAGCTAGTTATGTTTCGCTTTGGTAAATAAGTAAATACATTCCTCTGACAAATGATTGATAGATAATGATTGATAGATTAATCCCTTGGGGTAAATTGCAGATCACAAATGATCACATTGCTTTAGTACTGGTAAATATATTTTTTCTGCAATTTGCACAGTCAGTGCTTAATATGAAGGAACAGATGTGATCTTCATGTGTTCAATTTATTTAATCAGTGGTGATTAATTTCCCCTGCCACTTTAACTTCTAGAAGGAGCATGCTTTTTATTGTCATGTAAATTAGCTTGACAAGATAAGTACAGTAACTGGGCATTGCAATAAAGCTTATTACTTTTATTAATCAGAAGTATTTATTAATCAAAAATATTCAAATGTTTAGTATTCAGTGCTATCAGTTTTCAATTATTTCTGCTCAAGAAATAAGTGTGTTTTTATGCTGCCTGCATTTTCTTACATGTTTTGAATAATACCATAGATTTGTAGTTTAAAGGTAAAACAGTCCTTCTATGACAGTGTTTTTTTCCTGTTGGAGGAACATTGTGAGCTCTGTAAAATAATTCACATTCACATTTTTGCTCTTGCAGTGGTGGTTAACTTAAAAAAAAGCTCCATATATAATTACTGAATAACACACATTGATATACACAATACCTAGTGCAGTTAACTTACAGGTTCTTGTATACACTCAAAGCAGTTTGCTCTTTTTATGCTAGCTCATAAAAATGGGAGGTTTAGCATCCTCATTTTTTATTCTTTAGATGTGCAAACCTGAAATGCATAAGAACTGCATAAGTCTGTAGTCTAAACATCACTTATTTCACCAGATCAGATAACCAGGATTCTCCAAGGGTCACCGTGCAGCTAACATGTCTCTGGGTTTGGGTGGGTTAGACATGGCCTGGGTATCCTTGGAGTTTAGGGCACTGGAGACTTTCCTGACACCGGTACTGGCACGGCTGGCAGTGAAAGCTTCATGATAGTCAATATTAGTCCATTTAATTTGTTACTTAAAATTAACCCAAAGAACTTAATGTGTGGGATATATCTACATGTCATTGCTATATCAACCACTGTCCATGTTATTTTTAACATGGGTGTACAATTTTACTGGGTGTAAAAACATTCGACAAGTGTTGTGCGGTTCTAGTGAGCGATGTCTTGCAAATGTTACTTGAAGGCTAATGAAAGCTTTTAACAAGAGATTATCAAAGGATATGTCTTGAGGCAGGATCTGAGGACTGCGAAAGTGTTCGGCACAGTGCAAGAATGGATCGTTCTCACAAGCAAGTTTAGTATCTGCCAGTGACAGAATTAGGGAAGCAAATTTATGGTGTTGGTGGATCCAGTGGTGATTTGGACAAAACTGAACAACGACTTGTTGATTGTTGATTTTTGATTTGTTTGACTTGTTGAGCCTTTGAAACAGAAATTAATGTTTAAAGGCTCTGCTACAATATCTTTTCCCAATGTCTGAGAGCTTGTGAAAGAAAAATAGGAAGGAATTTTCTGTTGCATCATGGCTGAACATGAAATTGAATGGAACTGTGCCCAGCGTCACAGAATTACATTATTAAATGCGAAACAACACAGCAATGTCCAAGTCTGCATAAAACTGCCAGCCGGGCTAGAGGAAACTGAGGCCAGAAATGCAGAATAGGGTCCAAGCTGAAAAAGTCTTGTCTTCATTTTAAAAGCCGTATTGCCTTGAGAAGCTCCTTGTGACAGTGTATGAGGTAGGCATTGCACCATCAGCGATTGTAATCTTAAGGTGTTTATATGGAACATTTCAAAGCAGTTCATTTTAAAACTTTTTCTTTTGTGGCACATGTACAGTATAGTGTAAGTCCCTGGGTTTGTCTCTGGACTTTCGAGTTCTAGATCATCCCCCCAACACCCCCCCCGATCCCGACAAGCCTTTTTTCCTTCCATTTATTTGTTTTGCCTGCAGTTGACGTTTTTCCTACCCTCCCAATCGGACGCCGTCGGCCAGCGTGCAGGAGCTGGCGTGGGTGTGGGGGAGCGCTGTGGCTCTGGCGATTGGCGCGGCGATCTGGCGGCCACGCTGCGGGTCCCGGTGACGGCCGTAGTAGTAATAATAATAATT